GGGCATATGTAATACTTTCAACAATAAAGAATCACTTAAAAATCATCTTTTTGATATTGTTGTGGAAATACCACGGCAAAATGTATTTACCCCCAGTCCATCTGGGGAGGCTTTTCTGGAGACTCCAACAGCTAGGCGAGGGGGCATAGGACGCTGTGGGCTCCCGGAGGAAGCCGGTAGCACCCAAGAAAAGGATTGAAATGACTTAAGTCGCTCATTACCCATGCTGGGCGAGAGAGAAGATGGGTTTCTGGAATTTATTTTGTTTTGCCGGAGGGTTGCCAGCCCTAGCCAGAGAAGAGCCCCCTGAAGGGGGGTCACTGTTAGAGGAGGATGTTCCGAACCTACATCCCTCTAGAGCAGTGGTACTCAAGCTTCCTAATGCCGGGACCCTTTAATACAGTTCCTCGTGTGGTGGTGACCCACAACCATAAAATCATTTTCGTTGCTACTTCATAACTGCAATTTTGCTACTGTTATGAATCGTAATGTACAGACTTATGCCAGGTGGGACCCGGCTGGTAGGGTGCCCAGGCCAGCGCCTCTTGCAGGATTTGTCTTTTCCTTTGATGAACCTTAAGCCCATCACCTGAACAACCATCTACACTCCCGATCCTCTCACCTCTCCAGTCAAGGGCACAGTCAGGCGTGTTAGCAAAGTCAGTCCCATTGGCAGTTGATCAGCGGAGAACTCCCGTGACTGGAAATGCCATCTTTGGGCAGTTCTACGACTTATCTTTCTCTAGATTCCAGTTCGGATACTCCTCCCAATCAGAGGCGAAATATCCACGCAGGAGAAAGTGACTTGTTCATCCCCCCAGCCTCCCTTGCCCCAAAGTTGTCTCCTGAAAGGTCGAGTAGGTCTGGGTTTGCGATTAAAATCACTCTCAGATAATCGTCAGGAAGGTCCGGGAGGAAACGTAGAGAGGGTCCACTCTTCACCCCCTGGTTTTATCCTCAGCTTTCATCGTAACTGACCGCCGAAAGTCATTGCAATCCTGTCATCCAGTTGCTTTTTACGTTGCTTTGTCTTTCAGAGGTTAAAACAATGGACACTTTATTTTTTTACAAATCGTTATTTCGTTAATTTGATAGTTTAACCTAATGTATACTTTAAAATGTTTTTAATATAACTTCGAAAATATTTACAATCACCTCTGAGAATGCACAGGAATTAATTTCTGGTCTTCCTGTAAACATTGTTAGAATATTTATTGTCTCTCTAATTTTGGGATGTTCCTAGAGAGCCCATATCTTTCAAAAAACATAAATACAAGTTTTAATGTTAAAGCAAATCAATTACGCATGTACTTATTTTCTAAATGGATTCTGGTATCCACATAAATGTCATAGAGTCTCCGCCGTATTCCATTTACAGAATTTCATTTACAGAATTAAAATACACATATTCCAGTTCGCCCTAGAAATGTGTCTGGGTAGAATATGTTAGTAAAACGAATCAAAGTGATGATATAACAAAATAAAAATAAAGAAGTCGATGTGTTCTCTATTTTATTATCTTTCATTTCTCCTGAAAGACTGAATGCATTAACAGCCATATGGCTTGGAAAGGCATATTTTCCCTGAAAAGTCTGAAGATAATGGATTATGAAGTTTTAAAGTCTAATATTAACAATTTTATTATATTATGTTATAACAGTTATATTGTTATTATATTACTATTTTGTTTTATTTCCTAAAGTAAAATATATTTAAACTGTATTTTGATTATTGTTTATTCTTCTTCAATTCTTTCCTGCAGTTAGTGTTTGCCCTGATTCAGAACACTTTATTTTCAAAGCTGGCTCTTCCTTAATTACTATTTTGATATTTTAAAAGCCCATTAATTCAAAAGCAAGGAAGAAGGCTTTGAATTTGCTAGGTTGAGATTAAAATTGATAAATTAACGTAAGTATATTTACATCATCTTTCCCCGGAAAGGGATATAATGAGCTTTGAAATAAGTATCATTTCAAATGAACTGGAGGTGGGATGCACAGTCCTGGGCTGACAGCTGAGATTCCGGTTATAGTATGTTTTGCTTGGATATAAACAAATATCTTCCGTAAATGTCATAACACGAAATACCCTTAACATCTAGTTATAATTCAAGTTGATTTACATCTAAAGAATGTTTGGAATTGAGGGGTCTTTTTTTTTTTTTTAAGAAAACACCAGTCCAGTTTATTTTTGCCACCATTCACATACCAGGCCACCTACTGGCCTAAACCTGGCCGTTAGTACACATACTTGTCCGGCTAAAGGAAGTCGGCAGAAAACAAACTGGATGAAAATATTTGCTTGCTTTTTTGGTTTTGTTTTATTTTGACTGAATACACCGAGGTATTTTTTTTAAAATAACCCTTTTTTGTGATATGAGAAATATACTCAAATTTGGTTCCTATGGTGAAAGTTCAGCCTTAATTTATATCAATATTAATGGACCCAAAACAGCTGAAAAGCTGTTAAAAATGGAGAGGAAACTGCTCGCTGAGGCAAAGGGGCACCTATCAGTGTAGAATTTTGCAAATATAGAATGTTTAAATGACATTCTTTGAGTAATCACTTAAAGCGTGTGCGCGTGCGAGAGGAAACTGCTCGCTGAGGCAAAGGGGCACCTATCGGTGTAGAATTTTGCAAATATAGAATGTTTAAATGACGTTGTTCACATTCTTTGAGTAATCACTTAAAGCGAGTGCGTGCGCCCAGGTGGCCTGGCCAGGATTGCTAGTTCCTTGCTAGCGTTCCTTGCATCTCTAACACTGGATTCCAGTGCGCTTCCGGGGCGGGTTCAGCAATTAGCCTTCCTGGCCAAGACTGGAATCCCAGAGTCGTGGTCTATCCGGGCTCTCCCAGCAGCCTCCCAGCGCGCGGGTCTCAGGAGGCAGAATCGCGTGAACTTGAGCGGGTCTCAGGAGGCAGAATCGCGTGAACTTGAGCGGGTCTCAGGAGGCAGAATCGCGTGAACTTGAGCGGGTCTCAGGAGGCAGAATCGCGTGAACTTGAGCGGGTCTCAGGAGGCAGAATCGCGTGAACTTGAGCGGGTCTCAGGAGGCAGAATCGCGTGAACTTGAGCGGGTCTCAGGAGGCAGAATCGCGTGAACTTGAGCGGGTCTCAGGAGGCAGAATCGCGTGAACTTGAGCGGGTCTCAGGAGGCAGAATCGCGTGAACTTGAGCGGGTCTCAGGAGGCAGAATCGCGTGAACTTGAGCGGGTCTCAGGAGGCAGAATCGCGTGAACTTGAGCGGGTCTCAGGAGGCAGAATCGCGTGAACTTGAGCGGGTCTCAGGAGGCAGAATCGCGTGAACTTGAGCGGGTCTCAGGAGGCAGAATCGCGTGAACTTGAGCGGGTCTCAGGAGGCAGAATCGCGTGAACTTGAGCGGGTCTCAGGAGGCAGAATCGCGTGAACTTGAGCGGGTCTCAGGAGGCAGAATCGCGTGAACTTGTGGCACTACCAGAGCCAATACTTCTCAGCACTTATTGAACGGAATGCACGGCTGGTGAGAAAAAAAAGCTTAGGTTAGGTTTTTAAAATTCTCCCTATTTTTCATATTTATAAATAATGACAACATTGTAAAATATACTGACGTTTAAGGATATGGGCAAGTACATAGAAAAGTAGGGTTGTCCGCCCAAGCTAGATTTTTAAAAAACTTTAGAAGAAGAGATTTTTTAAAAGATTTCTTTTTGTGTTATACTTTTACATTGAATTAATTAGGAAGGAGTGAGCAGATGAGATGCGATGCTGTTACTTATCAGTACAGTGTGCTGTTAAAACCATGAGGGCAGACCCAGGGACCACTTTTTGAAGAAAATGTGTAACAATGTGCTGCTGTTTTGTAAATTCCTGCTGTAGTTGTTCAAATGCATCTTTTAAAACCTTATTTTACAAA